TTAGCAAGTGGGAGACTCCCCTCCGAGGTTTTTCTCTGATATAGTTTGGCCTCTCATCTGCATCTAGTCAAGACGACGTCAAAGTCAAAGGCGACTTTGGCGACGGTCATTTGTCAAAATCATTAATGCAATTACGCGTTCAGACTGCGACTGAGAATGAGTCTGCGACCGAGGGCTGTCTTCGCTGGCCTGCTAATTATTTTGAATTATTCAATTTCATGTCTCAATTTAAATTCTCCGAGGCAATTAGCAAAAGTCGTAGCTGCGACTTCCATCTCAGTTCTCTTATCGTTTTAGTTTTTCTTTTATTTTTTTTTTGTTCTCCCCTGCCATTGAGTGGCACTTTGAAGCGATGATATCGTATCGAGTGGGGGGGCGGCCAGAGAAAAAAAGTAGGTTCGATCCAGAAATGCAAATGAGTGTATGTGCGGCGAACGAAAATAAAACCATTTAAATAATTGAAAATCGAACAGCAGAAAAACACAACAGAACAGGAGGATATACCATGATGAATAATAAGGAAAATGGAGATAGAAACGCATGCAAATTTCCAATTCTAAACAAAATGGTGTCCAACAAACTAAATTCCAACTATGACGTCCAAAAAACAAGCATTAGCCTGTGTCGGTGTGTATGCTAATGTGTACATCTGCTTTTGAAATGGCACCGTGAGGGCAATTTAATTGAAAATCGTCAGAAAAATACTCAAAACAGAAAAGCACAAAGAATCAATAGGCAATACTGAAAACTAAAATTGTTTCAATACTCGAATTTAACTCACAAAGGCACTATTATTATTTGTCAAGCAAGCAATTAGTTTTACTTTGGCAAATAATATTTTTTAATACAAAACACTCACGAATCACGACGGCACCTCTACAAATCGTTGGATAGACATAGAAAACATAGATACATACGCCTTCTCTCTGTGTGTGTGTGGGTTTTGGTCGGCAAATGCGTGTTAGATTTGCTGATGTGCAAAATCTAATTAATTATTTCATTAAAAATGGCATTTTATTGACATTCTAATTTGGATTTTTAGAATATTTCGCCCCAGAATGGTATATATGTATATATATATGCAATTCCTATGTACGGATGCTATATATGTGTGTGTTTAGCAGCCCCCTCCCCCGCATTCATCGTGTGGCGTCGGCCTGGTCAACACGGCGGATGAGCGATTTTAATTGGTTTTTAACTAATTTGCTTGCATTCAGCGAGGGTCACTCTTCTATCCTCTTACTGATCCTACTCCTTTCCCAAAACTAAATAAGAGCCTAGCATGGGTTTTAGGGTGTAGTGGGCCGTGATAAAATTGCATTGTTGACACTGCTGCCATATAATTCGATTTGACATTTTGCACCGCGACAATGGACGAAATATAATCGAGATTTTCCTTCGAGTATTTGCATTTAAAATTCAAATCACATTTACCATTGGATAGCTATAATTTTGTAGTTCGATTTTACCATCCTTAACACCCCGAAGAATGGTCCCATCCTAAAGCCATTTGAGTCAATTTCCTGATTTCATATTTATGCGTGAAATTTGTTTATGACTTCCCTGTCACTTTATCCCTATACAAGAAGGATACGCACACGCCTTACCATATGAAGTCATAAACGATATACACATAACTGTAAAAATAATGAGAGAAACAACAAAAAGGGCGACGCACACACAAAAGGAGCAGCCATGTAGCTACTTGTACCTCGGACTTTGTGTACATTCGATGATTCTCCCACTGACAGCTAAAATGCAAATCGTAAAAATAACAATCATCATCATAACGCGCCTGCCCTCGTTCTTTCGTAGTTAGACTACGGACCTATGGGTTGGATAGATAGATGGATGGATGGATGGATGGATGGAGGGTACATGTCAGAAAAGGCACAGATATGAGGGTTGTACGGCGCTCTGAGGAGGGGCAAAGTATTTGCCAAGGAACTTAGTTCACTTGCCAAGGCGCCGTATCAATTTACCAAAAATAACAAGTGACGAAGCTAGAGTTATTAGAGCTTAATTTTACCCTGTAATCTGGGGAGGAAAACTCAAAAGGGTTGCTTACAAAAATGGAGAGACACGAAAGTTAGCTTTTTCATAATTTCTTATAGAAATAATTTGGTTTTCTCAATGCTAACCGGAGGTTAAGTGATATTAGGTGCTAAGACCCTCATGTGTTTGGTGCTTTAGTAAAAACTTCTTTATATAATCAAAGAGTATAGAACTATATTCATGCTGTTTGATATAGTCTATCCGAATCAGCGGCAAATAGTCCCCCCACAGCTTTCACAGGAACATATTTTGTGTTAACTGGAGGTTTATCTGTCCGATAAATGTTACTTTAATTTCACTGTAATAAAAATACTCTTTCAGATAAACACCAAAATGATAATGAAATACAGAAAGTTCATGTTTCAATGCTATTTTTAGATATTATTCTAAAAAATCTCTAGGTTCCCATTATAAATTACGATTCGTCTTTGTTTTAACCCATGGCAAAGCATTCTCTCATTTCAATATACCCTTCGGGTCGGAAACTTTTTTGGGGGCGTACAAATAGTTAGTACAAATTTGATTGTGCCCATGGCCAACAGGAGTTGTTGCTGCCATTTCCGCAGCTCTAGATACCAACGCGTGTTTGTTCAGTTACATATATAGCCTAGTATAGTATGTGGATCGTTATATAACATATATATTTCAGTGTGTGTTTGCAGATGATTTTATGTGTGTTGTTGTTGTTTAGTAATTCGTTTTTTATTTACCATTATCATTTACATTTATTTGTTATTATGTTACGCTCAACTCCCGCCCCAGGACATGGCCCACAACACCCTTCGCGGGTATCCTTTCAATTGCGCGCCCAAACACAGAGAGATAGAGAAGCGTGTTTTGGCCTTTTTTGGACTCTGTTTTTGTTGAACGCAAATTTTGAAATGTTTTGTTTTTAGGCAGTTTTGCCATTTGCCACTGCTGCCATTTGAAAGTTGAACATTTGAAGTGTGGCATGCAGAATGCAATTGCGTTGTTGCACATACCCACACACATCCTGCTGATTACATGTGAAAAGCGTATTTGTTGGTGGTTTTTTTTCGTGCCCTCCGCCTCTTTTCATTTACATATTTTTCGGTTACCAAGCCGGAAACTATCTGTTGTTTTATTTCGTTGTGTCTTGGCCGGGTTAGTTATTGTATCCTCCCCCTGAATTTATGCGATGTGCGAGGCGAGGCGAGGCGAATGTTTGTTCAATAAACGAAATAATTGCCAGCAAATGTGTTATGATGAAATTGTTTTGGGTTACTTCATAAATTAGCGCAAACAAATGCACGCAGCCCGGCAAAGTGCAAAGGCAAAGGCAAAGGGAGTGTGCGCCGCCGACTCCATGGATATGGTTTGCGAGAAACTGTGCGTATATCAACTGTAACTACTACCTAATGGGCCTTACTATATTTCCCATGAAAAAATGGCATTGTTTTAGGGTAACAAACTTCCCTGTTTTATGGAGCTTCTTGGAATTTGTATTCATGTAATTTCTAAGGAAGTTAAACAGGTGTCGCAGGTTAATTTATAATGTAGGTCTATGGTATAGTAGTCGTTGCTTCTCGTAGAAATCAATTAAAAAAGCCTTTCTGAAAACCCTTCTTATTGTCTTAGTTTAACTTTAGCTTCTTAACAATAAATTTAGTTTAATACTTTTCCATTTATAGTATATCCAAACCGATTACTTTATAATTAAGGTCAATTACTCCGAAAAAAATCCATTTGAAATTCCCCAACTACACGTGTAGTTCAATTTCCCAACCAACTCTCCGTTCACTCATTACAAAACTCACCCTTACCTTACCTGGTAATTCCGTAGTTACCAATTAAATGTGTGCACTGCTGACCAGCCTCCTTCGATTGTCTTAGTCACGGCCAAAAGTGATGGCCATAATCGAGTTTAAAATGCGCCATCATTAATCAACAGACAGACCCGTGAGTCAGAGCCTTAGAGAGAGTGAGTAACTGAACGAGTACGAGTGCCCATGAGCCTGATTTTCGAACGGAATTCCACATGAACCATGAAGAATTTGTACCAACCTGCAACTGCAGGCGCCAATTGCAGAGAGGCAGAGGAATTGGTGGGAAGTGGAAAAAGTATTAAATGGAATGGGCAGTTCCGCCCTCTCCAAATTCGATCCCAGAGATTGTAATCCGAATCTCCATAGCGCGCGTAATCCAAGACCAGAGATGAATGCGTTTATAAATATTTTGATGGCGGTACATCGATCAGGTTGACGGCCGGGAGGAGAGCAGAGCACACAGAAGATGGATGGTTACCTCTTCTAATGATCTTGTACAATTATTTTGGTTGGTGCACTCGAAAAATCGATCTGAAATTGTGATTAGAAATGAATTTGATCGATTATTTATAAATAATATGGAGGTTTTCTTTTTAGTTATCCCAAGTTTGTGATATTTTTAGTATCGAAAAACTCTTAAAACAGCATTCCTCATTAAATAACTCCTTCCGATTTAAATTCCGAATACTTGACAATCAGCCTGAAATTTATGAATAATTGTTCCAACGAAATCGATATTAAATCGATACTATGTTTTTCTTCTTTCGGAATGTGTTCACTATTTTTCTTCAAGTGTATGTCAAAGATCTCAGGAGTGGCGGGCAACTTCAGCTCCATTGTTTTGTGGCTTGTAAACGGTTAAATTAAATTGATTTGCGTCTAATGCCCCCGACAAGTGGCCCGCTCTCGGTGGCTGGCTTCGGTGGTTCGGTGGGTTCCCTGGGCTTCGTGGGCTCCGCTCGTGTAATTAATGGTTTCATTAGACCAACCGCGGATCCAGCGGCAGTCGGCAGCGTCCCGGTCCCGCTGCTTATGTATGAATAATTGGTAATAATATTTAATGATTGGCCCACCTGCCCGAACAATTGTATATTTGGATTTGAGTCGAACCCAAGACTGAACTCGATTTTTGTTTCTCTCTTTTTTCCCCCCTTGCAGCGCTTTCCAGCATTTCTAGCTCCGTCCATGGGCGCCGCGGCTAACAGGGTCCGGTGAAAATGGACAAAGGCCGTGCGAGGCTGCCGCCGAATTAGCAGAGACGAAGCCGGAAAATCCAACACAAATATTTGCCAAGTTCCCGCAGAAGAAAGGAAAACGAGGAGGAAACACACAAAGCCCACGCAAACAGAAGGGCAAGCAGCTGGAGAAGCCTTTGACAATAGCCAAGGAATTAGCCACAAAGGAGCAGCGTACGCGGGTCCATTAAGGCAGCACCATCATCAGACCACAGAGATAAAGATCCCATCCCGGCTAGACTCTGGTCGTGGTCCACTTAAATGACCGAGTCCACCCAGCTGCAGACGGCGGAGAACAACAACGCGGGCGTGGTGAAAATGGAGCCTCCGCCGCCGGCGACCTCCTCCGCCGCCGCCGCCGCTGCCCACGCTCTATCCTCGCTCTCCTCGCTCTCGATGGCGGCCACCGGCTCCTCCCTTTCGCCGGCCACGCCTCCACCCTCGCTGAACCTCTCACAAGCGCAGCACCAGCAGCACTATGCCCTCAAGTGGAACGACTTCCAGAGCTCGATCCTCAGCTCGTTCCGGCATTTGCGCGACGAGGAGGACTTTGTGGACGTGACGCTGGCCTGCGACGAGCGTTCCTTCACCGCCCACAAGGTGGTCCTCAGTGCCTGCAGCCCCTACTTCCGGCGGCTGCTCAAGGCCAATCCCTGCGAGCATCCGATCGTCATATTGCGCGATGTGCGCTGCGACGATGTTGAGAATCTGCTGAGGTATGTAAATTGACTATAACTTTAAGTTTAGGTATTATAATTTATTTATTATTTTTAAACTATATTTCTTTAGCTTTATGTACAATGGCGAGGTGAATGTAAGCCACGAACAGTTGCCCGACTTTTTGAAAACCGCTCACCTGCTGCAGATACGCGGCTTGGCGGATGTCAATGGCGGTTATCCCTACTCCAAGGCTCTGTCTGCTGCGCTAAGTCACAGCAACAACAACAATAGCAGTGGCAACAGCAGCAGTCACAGTCACAACAATAACAACAACCTGGCTGAGAGCAGTAACCACAACAAGCTCAACAGCTACTTAACGCCCAATCAAACGAGCGTCTCTAGCAATAATAATACTACCAACAGCCACAGCAGCAGCAGCAGCAACACCAGCAGCAACAACAATAATAATAATACTAGTGGATCCCTGAACAGCAGCCTGAACTCACCGTTCAGCACGCCGCAAGTGCCGCCGCCAGTCACCGCCTCGAGTGCCGCCGCAGCCGCAGCAGCTGCTGCATCGCTAACAGCCGCCGTGGCCGCAGCAGCCGCTGCAACAGCCAGCGCCGCCAGCAGCAGCAACAGCGGAGGCAGCAGCTCCGGCGGACAGAGCGGAGGTGCCAGTGGCACGCCAGCCATCCAGGAGCTGAAGGCATCGTCGGCAGCGTCGCCCGTAAGAACAACCAATCCCAATCCCAGCAAAGTAAAGTGTGCAGTTCCAAGCGCTTGCACTTGCCTTGTTTTAAGTCCTTCATTCTCGACTAACTCCGGGATGCATTTTCTATTCTTTTTGCTCTTTCACAGGCCAGCAGCAACCACTGGGACCTGGGCGAGATGGAGGGCAGCCGGAAGAGCCACCTGACGCCGCCACCACAGAAGCGTATCAAGAGCGCCGACTTGTTCCGCGCCCAGCACGGCATCAGCCCAGAGCGACTGCTCATCGATCGTGACTTTCCGGTAGCTGGACAGCATCCGCTCACTCGAAATCGCAGTGGTCGAGACACGTCCAAGGATCGGGAGCGGAACATGGAGCTAAGGGAATCTCTGCTGGGACAGGCGCTGGAGAACAGCAATGGACAGCAGGCCAGTCAGGTGAGTTCAGAAAACTTTAACTTCTGCATCTTATTTTCTTGAGAAAAAGCTCTAGCAACCGTGACGTGGTTGAGTATATTTTTTAATTTATAAAAATGTTATTTTTTTATCCTTACTCAGAAGCATGATCTCGGTCAGAGCGCGGGAGAGGATTCGAATAGTAGTGATACAGAGCCCTCGGATCGGGGCGATGGTCAGCACGATGGAACCCTCGACGGCATCGACAATCAGCGCTCCCACTCGTTCCCCAATGCATTCCTCGGCCTGCAGGGCATTCCAGGACTCCTGCCAGGACCCTCTGGCATCGGCAGTGATTTCGGTAAGTCGAAATTTCGATTACTACTTCCAAAATATATCAATTTAAAGCTTGTCATTCGTTTACACTTTGTAATATGGAACCAAAATTGAATATTTGCCTCTTGAGTATGATTTAAAAATCGATTGGATAAAGAAAGTGAAGAAAACAAAAATATTACGTATATGATTTGCATTTTGCCAGATAATTAGTAACTAACTGTCGATTTATCGATAAACAATTAGGGCCCAAGCACAACAAAAACCCGAAACAAATTGGCATAACAAACGAAATCAGATATATTTAAGATATTTAAATTAAGGCAGAGAATAAATTTCTAAAACAAAAACATAATTGGCACTCTCATCTAAAAATGTAAAGAAATGTTATCGATTAATCGAAAATTTGCTTGTTGTATTTGATTTATGAAAGAAACGAAACAACATATTTTGTATATGATTTGCATTCATAGATTTATTGACAGTAACTAACTATTATAAACAATAAGCCGATAAAAGTCTTTTGAATTCAACGATATTAAAAAAATTAATATTTCGATTATTTCGATTTATCGGCTTATGGCAAATCTATTGCATTTGATTGTCATGTATATCGAAAACTATTACAAATATCATCTTAAGCCGTAGCATTAGTCCTTAGTCTTTAAGCAGTGCAGTGAAACTCACATATAATGACCCTTCAGTGAAAGTAAACAAACCTAATTTGTCCCGATGTTCGATGCTCCTAACGAGCGCTGACCAGCCCATATGGAAGGCAATCATTAGGCCCATAACCCACTAAGAACCACCAGGACCTACACAGAACCTGGACCAGAGATCCCATCCAAATCCCACACCCAATCCCGGCCAGAGTGCCAAGAAATATGCGCGGAGCACGTGTCGCATTATGGATATGGATATGCGGCGACTGTTGGCCGTGTGATTATAAACACATTCGGCTTGGGTACGACGTAATGTCCGGCCATTCACGTATGTGCAAATGTTCTACGTAACGGACAACAAAAAATGATTATTGCCATTACCAAACACTATTGCTATCGACATAACTACGGCCATTGCTATTGCTATTACGGTTATTGTGATTATGATTACCATTCGATTGGCGAGCGGAAGGATAATACGTGCACTTGAAGAAAATGGTGCTTTGAAGCAGGTGCTCTTGGGGGATGTTTAAGAAGGGGTTGGAAAATCGTAGGGTTTTCATTTTTAATCTAAACTTAAATATAATATAGAATATTTTATTTCTTGAACCGCAAAGAGTTGTTACATTTCCTATTTAATTTTTATAAAATATTTAAACACTTCTCATACCTTGAATAGATTTCTTTCATTGTCACGGCCTTTTCTCAGTGTAAGAAAAAGCGTTACAAATATGATTTGACCAGATCCTTATTCCTGCCTCCGTTTTTTTTCGGCTTGTTTGTGCTGTTAAGCACATGACACGCACTTTGTTCGATGTCGCAAATGTCGCATTTAACGCGCATTAAAATGATAATAGCCTCGGCTTCCGTCTCAGACGGCCATCCTTGAACGGAATCCTGGAAGGATTCCTAAGCCCCGGAGTGCCGTTTAATATTCAGGGCACATAGATCATTGCAACAAATGTTGGCCAGCACTTGGTCAGTTTAGTGAGACAGGCTGCCGGTGGGGCTAGAGCGAAGAAATCAAATTTAATAAAGCATAAACATTCAATAAGCTTCGGGACGAGCCAAAGTCATTTGAAATTCCGAGCAGTTACGGGCCCAAAAGGAATAGCGAGGGCGGTGCCGGTCCTGGGACTGTTTCTTGGCCATTTGGAAATCCGAATCGAAAATATTAACGGCCCGAGCAAAAAGGATAAACTTTTGCGCAATGATAAAAATGATAAGTTTTTTTTTCCTGCCTTCTGTTTTCCGTGCCATGTCCGCCCACAGCCCCCCCGAAAAAAAGGGCGACACTCGAGACACACACACACACACACACTCCATACATATTTAGATTTTATTTCGTTTTATTGCTTTTTTGTGCATTCGATTTATTTGGTGGGCATTGGCAATGGCCGAAAACGGACTTGGAAATTGCGCACATGTGTGCGCAAGGACTTGAGAGCTGAGTCCTGTCCGCCCCGCTCCTTCCCTGTCCCCAGTAATATGAGTTGGGTTTGCATTTTAATATATTTACTTGGTCCTCGCTCTCCGTTGCCCGCTGCCCGCTGCCCTCTGGAACGCCCCCACAAATGTCACACACTCGCAATCAGATGCGGGCCCAAAAACTACAAAAGACGAACGAGAAAAGAGGAAAAAGTTTACTTTGCAGAAATCCATTGCAGAAACATTTATAAAGTGGCCCCGGCCAGGCCAAAGCGAGGGACCTAGCCCCCAAATTGTCTTCGAGTAGCAGGCGGCATAAAAAGGACTAGAATAACAGGCGAAAATGTGCAGTGAAAGAAATTGACTTGAGTTTTATATTTTATTTTATTTTAAATTTATTTAAAATATAAAAATATTGTTTTTATGATAAAAAGAAAAGGGGTAATTATATATTGAAGGTAAAGGAACCTAAATAGGTTAAATATGAACTTTGAAGAAAGAATCTTGCCTTCCTCTACTTTAACCTGTTGGGAATTATAGTTTTCTTAACACCATACATCCTTATAAAGAAAACGTAATGCTAGTCCTTCCCAACCAAGTTATGCAACAGTAGCTACCTACTTTTTCTCTCTGTGTCCGCAAAGAACTGTGGAGAAGAAAGCAGGACAGCGCAAAGCTGGACCGACCCTTGCTAGGAGGAGGCGTCTTCGCTGTCGTTGCCGAGGACATTTTAAAATGAAAATGATAGCAGCGAGACAAAAAAGAAAGCGGACAGCCAGGCCGGCGGCTGCGGTGTCCTCGTCGTCGTCAGGTGGGTGGTTCTGGGCTTCAGTTTCTGTAGAGGATTGGGTGGTGGCCCAAACATTGACAGCAAATAAATGGCAGCCAAAATAATAACAGCAAAGGGGTGGCGCATGTGTGTTTGCTTGGGTGTGACAAGGGGAGAGACACGTAAGATAGTTTTCTTCAAATCAGGAAAATCTTTAGCCCAAGAAAAAGAAATTTCCTGGCAGCTGGCGAGGTGCGAACACTGCTGCAGTCGGCGCCGCCAGGCGTGGGCGAAGCTAAAAATGCAAACAAACGGAATCAAAGGGCTGGAATCGCTGACATATGAGGGCAGTGGCTCATTTCTTGGCCAAAACCAAATGCAAAAGTTTGCGGAAGTCGAGGCGTGGCAGGACGAAGGACGAAGGAGTGCCGAATCAAACTTGGCTGGACCAACTGGCGCTGTCTGCTGCTGGGAAGCTAATGCGCAAAGTTTCTTTCGATTTCGGTTTGGTTGGTCTTTGCTGGGGGTTCTATTTGCCAGCTGCTCACAAACTGCATTTGTTTTTGTGCCTTCTGTCCATCTTATGCCATTTCCATGGACTGCATTGCTTAGCTCAAAAAAAAGAGTATTATTTATTTGAAAAACATTGCCACCATGGAAAGTCTGATTAAATCGGTTGCTCGGTATCTGTCATGACTTGCCTTGATGGCCTGAAAAATGTATTTAGTTTTTGGTGAGTCATTTTTGGGGATGAGATTTGTTGAAATTAAATAACTAAGGTTTCTTGATTTTTCTATTGCAAGTTAAGCTTCAAATATTTTAAAACTATATGAAGCTTTTCTAAAACAGATTTTAGCTTTTCTTTTTAGGATTGGGTTTAGGATTCTCATTTTCCCAGATCCCCGTAGATCGATAAGATCTCTTCTGTCAAGTGCATCCTTTTGCCTTTAATTACATTCCAGTGACTTTGGCATATTTGCCGACTCAAAGTGTGTGTGTGTGTGTGTGGTCGCGAAGGGATTACAATCTGTGTCGAAGATAATGGCTGCTAAGACCCAGCAATATAGACATTTAATGACGGACGCTCCCAGGACTCTGGCATTGCCCTTTCCTTCGTCTTTGGGAGCTGCGTGAAATGCGTAAAATTAGCAGCCGGCAGTCGAGGCAATAAGCATGCGAGAAACATTATTTTCCTGGCCAAACAAAACGCACCCAAAACTAAACAGGGCTTACCGCCCCCCAAAAGGTGCGTGCCGGCGGATCCCCCTTTTTACCCATGTACGCATACATACAGAGGTCGGGGGGAAGGGAGCTCCATTTGTTGGCGTGTTTGCATTTAATAAATTCGATTAACAACGGAATAAATACGCTTAAATGCGGAAAATAATGAAAACTAACGAAAAGCGTTTTGTTAGCCAGCCAAGCCGCCCTTTGTCGGCGTCGCCTGGGCGCCGCTTTCATTCCATCCGGCATTCAATCATTCATTCCATTCAGTTATTCATTTTACGAGCTGTGTTATTATTGTAAATATGTGTGGGTTGTTGCTGTAACAAATACAAATACATTACGTGAATAAACGCACCCATTATTTCATTTCATCAAGAACCATTAACGCCAACACGCCGCCGTTGAACACACTTACATGGTGTGTTGAGTGTGTGTGAGAGGAGTCCTGTCCTGTCCTGTTTTAGTCCTGTGGCAGCTCACCGCGCCTAGTGTGGCCAGCCTCAGCACCGGCTCCTCGCTCACCGCCTTTCCATCCAGCTGCTGCAAATGAGCGAAGGACATGAAAATGTTCAAGTAGACACACACACTCCGGTTCGCACTCGCACTCGCATGTTGTGGGGGCGCAAAACTTTTCCAGGATAATGAGTAAAATGATTGGAAATACATTTGCAGTGCGTGCGTCTATCGCATGTATCTGTATCTGTAGCTGTAGCTGTATCCCAGTATCCCTGTATCCTGGTACAGCGCCAATCGTTTAATGTATCCGTGTCCAGGACATTGTTATGTCATCGCCAAGTTGGCAACTAAAATAAGTGCGGGAAAAAGGTTGATGATCTCCGGCCAAGGCTTAAAGTGAAAAAAGGTTTAAAATACTAGACAATTCGGTTATTTTCTAAATAAATAGTATTTCAAGAAAGTTATCCTCCAAATATAAATACC